CAATCAAGTGGCATCCCCTAAGTGGAAGTTGCAAAAGAAGCTGGGGTACTAGAAGTGTACATATCTTTTTCAGTTGATCCCAGTGACCTGGAGCACAGCAGAGGGAGAGCACGATGATTGCATCTTTCCTCCGAGGACTCTGGAGGAAATTGTTGAAGGCCTCTAGATATGTATTAAATTAGATGCTTGTCCTTCAGACTGAAGTTTTAAGATACACAAGTAAGCCTTTTTCACAGAAAGTGTGGGTACTTCTCAATTAGTTGCATTTGTGCTAGGCTCTGGGGTGGGCGAATTTGCACAAACCCTTTAAGAACTGTTTTTGGTTACCCATATATAGTCTTGTAGATCTCATGGATGTGAACTCCATTCACTTTCTAAGCTAGATGTTTGGAGGCTTGTCTCTTGGGTGTAGTTCTTAAAAGTTGGGGTACCTGATGTGGTTATCAAATTCTCTTCAGGGAGAAGCTTGGGATTGTGAGTTCCCTTCTGATTGTGGATTAGCATACCACAGTTGGGGTTTATAGCAAGATTTTGTTTCACCTCTCCTCATTTTCATGTGGATTTTTTTCCCCATTTGTGTAGCGTGAAGGAATCACTCAGCTAATCTTTGGGTTTCTTTCAGAGGAAATGGTTTGACTTGTAGCTGTAGATTTGGTGTGTCTGTGAGAGGACATGTATTCAGGATCCTTCTACATTGCCATCTTGAACCAGGCCCATTGGGGACTGCTTTAGAGGCTGCCTACCACACCAGATTCAGAAAACCTTATTAATGATGTTAAGTATTTCTAATTTTATTCTAAAAATTTTTAATGTTTATTTATTTTTTGAGAGAGAGAGAGAGAAAGACAGAATGTGAGTGGGGGAGAGGCAGAGAGAGGAGACACAGAATTCGAAGCAAGCTCCGGGCTCTGAGCTGTCAACACAGAGCCCAACGTGGGGCTCGAATTCACTAACCATGAGATCATGACCTGAGCCAAAGTTGGATGCTCAACCGACTGAGTCACCCAGGCACCCCTAATTTTTTCTAAAGGTTATAAGAAACCATGAAAAAGTTTTAAACAGGGAAATTATTTGATCAGATTTTTGTGCAAAAAATAACTTTGTCTAGGACCAAGAATGGATAGGTTAGAGTGTATTCTGTACACCGGATAAGTGATCATTGCTATAGCACAGGTGAGAAATGTAGTAGTTTGAACTTTAGTGGTAGCCATGGAAATGGAAATAAGTGGATGGGTTCAAAGTACATTAAGGATGCGAACTTAGTGGACCTAAAAATAGCTTTGATGTGGAAGTTGAAAGGAAGGAGTCGAGTTAGTTTTTCAAGTTTCTGGCTAGAACAACAAGATAGATGGTGACGCTATTTGCTGGAATAGGAGGACAGAAGCAATTTGGAGAGGTAAAGAGGGAGATGAGATGTTTTGGGCTATGTTTTGGGCTAATTAACGTGACTGTCATGAGATAGCCAAGTTGACGTATAGAATAGACAGTAGTTTGATAGGTCTGGTGTTTACCTTCTGAAGTCTGAGCTGGAGATACAGATTCAGGAGTCTTTAGCATATAGTTGTAAATGATGACATGGTAGAGGTTGAAAGTACTTTCTAGTAAGACTAGAAGAAGGCCTAGTACATACTATGGAGAAATTCCAACATTTAAGAGGAGGAGGAGCTGACAGGAAATTAGGAAGAAAACAAGGAGATATGGTAGGCACACATTCCTTTCTATCTAGTGATGAGTTTGTATTTTTGAATTCCTTCTAGCTTGAACTTAGTATAATCAATGTTGAAGAAAAGATCTATCTAGGACATAGCCTGCTTCTTTGGTTGAATAAATATTTTTTGGGAATTCATTATATGAAAGGCATTGTACAGAGTATTGGAGGTGCAAAGTAAAATGGCACATTCTAACTGTCTCAGAGTCTCACAAGTTGTTAGTGTCTTTAGGGGGCCACTGAGTCCTGATTCTTTTAATTGACTTTTTTTTAGTTCCAGAAACATGATTTTTATCTATTTTCTCACAGATGAGCAGAGAGCTGCTTCACATTAACCAAACTAGTAAAAGAGTACAACTGGTAAACTGTCACTTCATTAATTTACAGTAAGAAATATAAATGTCAGCTGCCCAATACTGCATTTTCTCCCCTCTCAGAAAGCTAGAATATTATTTCTTGAGCATGACATCAGCATGAGGATGAACACTGTAAATGTCTAGTTTTCTCAAGTTATAATAATCTCTGCAAATGTTTCTACCTTGTGATACATCTGCAGTAAAAATAGGGAACTAGGAGACTTACTGATGAAATCTTAGTCTTTTCCTTCTTTTTCTAAGTATCACTACCACCATACACACTCACTCCCCATACCCTGTGTCCCTAACCCCATCTTGCTTCTCCTTGGTAAATATGAATTAACTCAGAAAATTAAATGTTAAAATTGTAACTTTGTCAAATTCAGTTTTCCTATTTTGCTTTTTTGTTTTGAATCCAGTTTTGTGCAGTATCTTGAATATTCATGCTCAAAAAAGTAAACAAAGCACTCAGCAAATTGGAGTATGTTGGATTCCTCATTCCTGTCCTACATCCTTATGAGAAGTTAAAATATGGGTCAGATGTGAGTCATGAGAGAGACTCTAGAATGGCTACAAGGTTTTTTGTTGGCTTTTTTTTTTTTTTTTAACCTAAACATCTGGAAGAATGGAAACTCTAGTTTCCATTTACCCTGAAAAGGGAAGTTGTAAGGTGGGTAAAGTTAAAGGAAGCAGTAGCTGTTTTAGCTTATAAATGTGAGATGCCTGTTGTACTTCATGTGGAGGTAGATGTTGATTAAGCTGCTGGATGCATGATTCTGAAATTCAGATGAGTCATCCAGACTTCATATTTTGTTTGTATGTTTTTAACACATTGATGGTATTTAAAGACATGAGATCACCAAAATGAAACAAGTAGAGAAACGATCTGGGACTAAGCCCAGAATATTCCTGGCTAATGAGGAACCAACCAAAGCAAAGGAGCAGTTGCTGAAACTGCAGATAATGATAGTAGTATCCAAAAGCCAAGAGGAAAGTGTTCCAAGAGTGAGAGAACACAGCAAGTGCTGAAGAAAGGGGCTGGATAGACTAGAAAGAGGCATGAGGAAATTGAGGGTGGTGGTGGTAGTGGATATTTTCATTATCTTGATTGTGGTCATAGTGATGGTTTTATGGGTTTATATGCATGCTTTAATGAATTGTACATGTTAAGTTTGCGATTTATTTTATGTCACTTATGTCTCAATAAAGTTGCTTTAAAAAATTAAAGAGCCGTTCATGACTTTAAAAAAAAAAAAAAAAAATGATCAGCTGTCCAATACTGTTGATAGGACAAGGAAGCTGAGAATTCAGAATTGACCATAGGAAATAGCTGCATCCTGGGTTACCTTAACTAGAACACTGTCAGTGGAGTTGTGGGGATAAAAGTGATTTGTGTGAGTTCAAGAGTGAATGGGAAGAGAGGAAGTGGAGACAGAGCACAGGCAACTTTTTTTTTTTTAATATTTATTTATATTGAGAGAGTGCGCTGACGTATACAAGCAGGGAGAGGGGCAGAGAGAATCAGACAAAGAATCCCAAGCAGACTCCACACTGTTAGTGTGGTGCCTGACATGGGGCTCCATCCCATGAACCATGAGATCATGTCCTGAGCCGAAATTGAGTTGGAAACTTAACTGACTAAGCCACCCAGGCGCCCTGAGTAGAGACAACTTTTTAAAACTTTTGCTGTAAAGAGAAGTTAGAAATGAGACTAAAGAGAGAAGTGAATTCAAGAGGAAGTTTTAATTTTTAAAAGAAAATCACAACTTATAAAGATAGTATAGCTTGGCTCATACCAGTGGGAATGAATCAACAGAAAGGGAAAAAATGATACTATTTATGTGAAAGAGAAGAACTGTTGTAGCAAAGAATTGGTGGAGTGATGTCCATATATATACTCTTTCTTTACCATTGGTTTTGAGAATTCTGGCCATAATAATGAAAATTAATTTATAAATATGTTTGAATATGCTCTTTATTTTATTCATTGTTTAATTAAAAAACTGGGTTTTGTGGATCACTTTTGAAGATATCTTTAAAAGCCATGTACATTTTTTATGTGTAGTAATCACCATATTTGATAATTTTCATCTCATCTGTTAAGATTGGTACTTATATGTTAGAATCTTATATTTTATTTCATGCAGTTACAATATCCATGCCTCCTCAAATGAAATATAGATCTGGGGTGCCTGGGTGCTTCATTTGGGTGTGCATCTGATTTGGCTTAGGTCATGATCTCACAGTTCGTGAGTTCAAGCCCCGCGTCAGGCTCTGTGCTGACCGGTCAGAGTCTGGGGCCTGCTTCAGATTCTGTGTCTCCCTCTTTCTCTGCCCCTCCCTGCTTGTGCTATGTCTCTGTCTCTCTCAAAAATAAATAAACATTTGAAAAAAATTTTTAAAAATGAAATGTAGATCTTATAATGCAGCACTTACCAGCATAACTGTGATTGTTAGATAAGTTACTATCATTAGCCTTAGCCATTGTTAAGAAACTTTTCTTGAAAAAGGATATACTCTCCCTATAAGGTAACTTTGTGAAATAGTTTCACTGAAGAATTTGATGAGATAAATTTTGAGCTTCCAATATTCTTTTTCTTTTAAGTTGATTTATTAATTTTGAGGGAGAGAGAGAGGGACAGGGAGGAGCCAGAGAGAGAATCCAAGCAATCTCTGCACTGTCAGTGCAGAACCTGATGCACGCCTCAAACTCTAGGAACTGTGCCAGACCATGACCAGAACCAAAATCAAGAGTTGGACGCTTAACTGACTGAGCCAACCAGGTACCCCTGAACTTCCAATATGCTTAGGATTGATTGCTTTGGGGGTAGGAGAAAATTGATGTGATTTTTTTTTTTATTAATGTAATTTTTGCTAGGAGTAGCTGTTCCTGCAAATTTTGTGTTTGATAACTCTGACCATAATTGTTTCCATAGGTGATGGGAAACCTAGGAGCTTTCAAAAGAAGCCTTTTATTCTCAGCCTTATCTTATTTGGGTTTTGAAGCATATCAAGTATTTTCCCAGGCTGCTGTGGTTCATGCCATAGCCAAAGGTAAGCCTAAGCTAAACATGTGGACTACTTAGAGTTATTTATGTTTTTTATATTTTGTTAATGACTTAGAGTTGTTTTTGAATAGGTAATGAAACTAACATTGTTAAAGGCTATATTATTTTCTGCTTTTCTCTACTTGTTAGTCTGATAATATATATGTGTATGTATGTATATATATGTATGTATCTGTGTGTGTTATATCTGTGTGAATATGTATATATATCTGTATATATATATAATTTCTTCTAGCAATTAGAGTTCCTTCAGTGAGAAATACTCTATTAATACTTTGTAGTTTTATGGGACCCTTGGGGTAAGAATGTTTTTTACATTTTTAAACGGTTGAGGGATTTGTCAGGGAGAGATATATATACCACAAAGACTATATCTGGCCCTTATGACACAATGATTTGTTTGTTTCCTTAATTCCAAGGTATTACACTCTTCTTGGTATAGTTAGGAAAGGCCCAATTACTTTGAGGTAGAAGTATTTTATTTACCAACAATGCAATTTTGTACTAAATATCAAGTAACTGATAGAAAAGTAAAAAAATTCCATGAAATTTTTTATTTGGCATTCTATAGATAAGTAAACATAGACTTGCCATATGTAAAAAATTAAATGTAATTAAACCAGTTGTGTATGTAGAGAGAGCCATAATTTCAGTATATTAGGAAAAAAACCCCTTTTTTTAATGTTTGTTTATTTTTGAGAGAGAGAGAGAGGGAGTTGAGGAGAGGCAGAGAGAAAGGGAGACAGGATCCAAATTGGGATCTGGGCTGACAACAGAGAGCTTGGTGTGGGACTTGAACTCACGATCCACAAAACCATGACCTAAGCCAAAGTTGGACACTTAACTGACAGACTGCCCCAGGTGCCCCAGAAAAAAAACTTTTAATTTATGGGTTAAACCTTTTTATTTTTTATAGTCCCCACCTTTTAATCATCAAGAAAGTGACTGGGGAAGGAAGCAGAGATTTTGTTTTGAATAGATGTTCTTTTTAAAGTGATAGATGAAGAATTTGAGAATATTAGCCAAAAACTACTAGTTATTTATTGATTTCATTCGCCCATGACTATTCTTATCTTTAAAAGAGCAAATAATTGAGAATTACTATGTTTTTGTTTTATCTTTTCCTTTTTTAATGGATAATTTTTATGAAGGATAAAGTAGAGGATTTGATTCCATAGACTTTTCACCCTAACCTCAATTCTCATAGAAACCTTGTAAAGTAGTTAGGACAAAAGTGTATTATGACATGATAGTTTTTTAAAACTTATCCTTGAGAGGTGTTGCAGTTTTAAGATTTTTCTGTGTGTGTGTGTGTGTGTGTGTGTGTGTGTGTGTGTGTGTTCGTATTCCATTATGGTATTTAAAAAAAATTTTTTTTTAATTTATATTTATTTATTTTTGAGAGACAGAATGAGACAGAGCATGAGTGGAGGAGGGGCAGAGAGAGGAGACCCAGAATCTGAAGTAGGCTCCAGGCTCCGAGCTGTCAGCGCAGAGCCCGACGTGGGGCTCGAACCCACGAACTATGAGATCATGACCTGACCTGAAGTCGGACACTTAGCCGACTGAACCACCCAGGCACCCCTGCTATTTTTTTCAAAGTGAACTCTGCCCAAGGTGGGCTTAAACTTAGGACCCAGATATCGTGAGTCACATTCTTTACTGACTGAGCCAGCCAGGCTCCACCCATTATAGTATTAACTTTTGAAAAGAAGCTCAAAGTTAAAACTTCTTCAAAGTCAAAGTGTCAAAGCAGAAATGAGAACTTTAATCAATTTTTTTTCATCTGTCACAGTTTCAGTGTGCTTTAGCACCATTTCCTTACAGAAAATTAGTGCAAATTTGTAGTGCTTCCCTGAGCAACAAAATATGGCACTTTGAGAGGCGAAGCTGAAATTAATTTTAGCTTTAATGGTAATAGCCCCTTTTTTCAAAGGTGTTTTTATTTAAAATTACTGTGTATACAGTAGATTAAAAAGAACATTTTAATGTGCTAGACAGCTTGTGAGGGTCGCACAAACTGGGTGTGGTCTTGCCTAGCCACAGTAGCTAGCTGGCAGGGTGGGGTGGGGGAGGAGAATTAGGGGTTTAGTGTGTAAATAGTGTGTTATGCCTCAAAGAACACTGATGTGGCTTTTTTCCCCATTCTCTTCCTCTACTTGCATGAGACACCATGAGCTGGGCTGGGGGAATCCTGTGGGCAAGCCAGAGACCAGGCACCATAGGAGTGAATTTCTTTTGCCTAGGGATGGCTCTGTGTCCCTGCCAGGTGGCATGCATCTCCTTTAGGGACAGCTGGTCCTTCAGTCCAATCTCCAAGATTATAACTGTCAGGTGTGAACTTACTAAGACTTTCACTTCAGAGGAGACAGTTCATCACAATATGATCTCCATTATAGGAACTGGATCAGTTGGCATGGCCTGTGGTATCAACATCTTATTCAAAGGCTTGAGTGATGAAGTTGCCTTTGTGGATGTTGATGAAGGCAAACTGAAGGGTGAGACAGTGGATCTTCAACATGGCAGCTCTTTCATGAAAATGCCAAATATATTTTCCAGCAAAGATTACCTTGTCAGTGCAAACTCCAACCCAGTGATTATCATAGCAGGTGCATGTCCAGGAAAAGGACAAACATGCCTTGATGTAGTCAAGAGAAATGTGTCCTTCTTTAAATTAATGATTCCCAACATTACCCAGTATAGTCCCCAGTGCAAAATGATAGTGGTTTCCAGTCCAGTGGATATCTTAACTTATGTAGCTTGGAAGTTGAGTGCATTTCCCCTGTTATTGGAAGTGGCTATATCTGGATACTGCCCATTTCTGTTTCTTTATTGGGCAAAGGCTCGGTATCCACTCCAGAAGTTGTCATGGATGGATCTTTGGAGAACATGGAGACTCAAGTGTACCTGTGTGGAGTGGAGTTAACATTGCTGGTATCCCCTTGAAGGATCTGAATTCAGAAATTGGAATGGATAAAGATCCTGAGCACTGGGAAAATGTCCCCAAAGAAGTGATAACCTGTGGTTACGAGATGGTTAAAATGAAATGTCATACTAATTGGGCTGTTGGCTTATCTGTAGTTAATTTAATGGAAAGCGTTTTGAACTATCTTAGGAGAGTGCATCCAATTTCCACCATAACTAAAGACCTCTATGGAATAAATGAAAAGGTATTCCTTAGTGTTCTTTGTATCCTGAGAGAGGATGGTATTGCAAACGTTCTAAAAATAAACCCCTGAAGAGGCGGTCTGTTTGAAAGAGTGCAGAAAAGCTCTGGGAAATACAGAAGGAGATCAAGGTTTAAAGTTATTTAAAGCCACCCTTATGAAGTTATTGATGGAGAGATAGTAGTTATAGGATTATATATCAAACTTTTGAATAAACTTGAATTCATATATGTGTATATATAGTAGTTGCTATTTGGTCTAAATGTATGATGTATGTGTTTAATGTGTTATAGAAGTTCTGGTTCTTTTCATCCAGTATATACCAATTCTTTCATTCTGGCTGGATTTTGTATTCATTTATATGCTGTTTTAAAAAAAAGTTGTAACTTCCTCTACAAATGTAAAAATGAAAGTATTTACAAACAAAAATAGCTCTGTTGATTCCAATTCTAACACCAAATAAAACCTTGATTTGACCTTGAAAAACAATTTTTAATATTCTAAGGTGTAACTTATTCTGAAATCTAAATGTATTGTCTTTATTACAGATTTTAATGAAAGCTGCCTTATATTTTAGAATCCTTTCTGTGTTTTCAAGCATATTTTGAGCACTTAGAACGTTGATACAAAATATGGAGTATGGATATTAGCCTACTTTGATTTTCTTTAGCTTTGTTTTCTTACATAAAATGTCATTTTATAATTAGTTGATTGGCATGCTCATTATAATTTGTGAGACTAGGCCATAGCCCTTGGGGAAAAAAAATCAATTATTGATAAAATATAGAGATCAGATTTTCTTTTAACTTGGAAAATGATTCATGTTCCTATAAAGTCTTAATTCCATCACTCCTTACAAGTTTTACTCTGTCATATATCTGACTCCCATTTGGTGTGCTGTGATCTTTGTATTTTTTAGGAAATGATCTTTAGAGAATTCTGCTCATCAAAACTTCTCTTTATAGCTGCTTCACCATTGAAGCCAATTAAAATTTTTTTTCCTCATCAGTATACTGGGATAAAATCCTATTCTGAAGTGAGATGTTTTTAGAAATTAAGGGTATATATATTTTTTTGACCTTTCATTTGGATGGGATTCTGAGACTCATTTTTAAAATGGTAATGTCTATATTTACCACAAGATAATGCAAATACCCACTTGGTCGTAATTGAAGAACTCCAGTAGAAAGTTTTTCATTATTTCCTTAAAATAGACAAAATTTTAAACTCCTAAAGATATGCTAATACAGTCACAGTACTCATGTGTGTGTGTGTGTGTGTGTGTGTGTGTGCGCGCGCGCGCGTGTGTGAAAGTTCACTTGTAAAGTACCTAAAAGATAATTATAAGTGGCCCATTAATAAATAAAGATTCGTCATATCACTTCACTTGTCTCTCTTCATATACCTGTATTGATTCCTCTTTGATGAATCTACAGAACTGAGGCTAGTGCTCCTTCATCTGTGTTTCATTGTACTACAGCAGGGCATAAAGAGGTACTGTGCATCCAGTACTGCTTAGGCACAGTATTGTTGATGTGAAAAATTTGCCTTAAATTTTGATGATGTTGTTGCTACTTAGAGCCTTCTAACCCTAGAAAAATCCTAGAGTATCTGAAAAAATCTAGATACTCATTTGTAAGTTCTATAAGGAGAAACTTCTAGAAATAGAGCTGTTTTGCTTGCTTAGAGGAGTAGAGTTTTTGTCCAGATACCTCTCACATGGTTAAGAGTACACGTACCAAGAAAAACCAGAAAGCCAAAATTTACTAACTTAGGTCACATCAGTGACATTTTTTTAAATTCTAAAAATTATCTTGTGCATATTCATTTTAGGCTAAATTTAAGATTTCATTGTACAGCTGAATTAATATCTCAGTTCATCCTGGATATTCATTATTAAGTTGAAAAGTAATTTACTTTAAAAGTGTAGTCCATTTTATAGAATATGGTCTCTTTATGTCAGTAACATAGCTTATTTTTAAATATTTTCAGGAAAAGTACAGAGCATTAAACAAGTAAAAAAAAACCAAAACAAAACACAGCTGATTTGCAGATATGAGTGGTCTACAGTATGCTCCCACCCTAGTGCCTATGTGAGTCTGTAGTATCAGAGTAAGTGCATTTTTTTCTTGTAAATTGCACACTGTATGATTTTAGAAATTTCTGTTTAAGAATTAAGAAAAACAGGGGCGCCTGGGTGGCTCAGTCGGCTAAGCGTCTGACTTCGGCTCAGGTCATGATCTCGCGGTCCGTGAGTTCGAGCCCTGCGTCGGGCTCTGTGCTGACAGCTCAGAGCCTGGAGCCTGTTTCAGATTCTGTGTCTCCCTCTCTCTCTGACCCTCCCCCATTCATGCTCTGTCTCTCTCTGTCTCAAAAAGTAAATAAACGTTAAAAAAAAAAAAATTGGAAAAAAAAAAGAATTAAGAAAAACATATTTAAACCCTGGATATTATAGCTTATGGTACTATACTGTATAATAAAGAAATAGGAAGTAAGTGATTTAAGAAGTTAAGAATAGTGCACAAAAGATTTAAATCATTTTAAATTATTAACTTTATTTCTACATTCTTCTTTTAATTGTGTGGATGATGAGTTGAAGCATTCCTAGATCACGTTAAGGACAGTAATCTCTATCAGTCTTCTTGGAAAGTCTGAGAAAAATCAGTGAATAGATTTAAATATAGCTTTGCTATTTACACATACCATGTATACATTCAAATATGCCAGATCAGTATATTTAATATTGTATAAGTTTTGTGTGACAGCAGCTGTAACAAATTACCACAAATTTAGTAACCTTAAACAACATAGATTTATTATCTTACAGTTCTGTAGTTCAGAAGTCCCCAAAATGGCTCCCGGTAGATTAAAATCAAGGAGTCGGCAGGGCTGTATTTCTTTCTGGAGGCTTTAGGAGAGAATTCTTATTTTCAGCTTCTAAAGGCTTTCCACATTCCTTTACTGAAGAACCCTTTCCTCCATGTTACAAACCAGCAATCATTTCACTCTGGCCTTGTTTTCTTTGTTATACCTCATCTGACTTTCTTCTTCCACCTTCCTCTTCTACTTTTAAGGACTCCTGGGAGTATATTGGGCCCCCTGGCTAATCCAAGATCATTTCCTGTCTTAAGGTTAGCTGATTAGTAGCCTTAATTCTAGTTACAAACTTAATTCCCCTTTGCCATGAGACCTATACATTTTTACAGGTTCTGGTGATTAAGATGTAGACCTTTTGGGGACCATTATTCTGCCTACCACAAATATTGACTAAGAATGCTAAGATTACTACTTTTTAAGAATCTTTGGGTTGTTGGGAGTGCCTGGCAGGCTCAGTTGGTAGAGCACACAACTCTCGATCTTGGGGGTGTGAATTTGAGCCCCAGTATAGAGATTTTATGGGTATAGAGATTACTTAAAAAAAAAATCTTTGGGTTGTTGTAACCCAAATTTGGACAATCAGCCACTGATAAAAATATACAATAAAATGGAAGCAAACTTAAGAAAGTTAACCAGCTATGTGAATATTAAATTCTAACACCCAACCAGATTGAGGTAGGATTAAAGAAGAATTTGCTAATTCATTTAATTTTTCTTAAGCTAGTTATAAGTATATCATGATGTTAACTTAGTAAAAAGTACTTCATATAGTGTCAAATTCAAATTTTTTTCTGGTCTAGAGCTTAATTTTTAAAAAAATTAAACCTCAAATACATTCTTATCAATTAAAGCATACTAAGGTAAATAATAAACTTAATTGAACATATTGAAATGTTGGCTTATCTGTAGGACTAAGTAATACTGTACCCTTCTAGAAGACAATTCAGTATGTTGTTCCTTAGTAATAATTGGAATATCCTGAAATTCAAGCTTACTGTTTTTTTCAGGAACTAATCAACTTTTTTTAGAGCATCATGTTGTCTATAAGGTTTGTATGTTTTGTAGTAATGTATAAACTAGTTAATGAATTGGTTGGTGTATAGTGCCAGTGAGGGTAGTTTCAGATTCTCTGTGTAGTTAAATTCATGTAAGTTTTTGATGACAGATTTGACTCTTTCTGTAACAGCATCTGTATAAGTTAGATCATAGAGTCTAGTGAAACTGTGCAGTCCATTCAAATTAATAATTTTCAGTACTGGAAGTGGATATTACATCATCATTTTCAACAATGGATGGTATTTAGCAATGACAACAGAGAGTTTGTGTGTGTGTAGGGTAAGGGTACCATAACTTTCTTGCAGGAAATTGCATTTTAAAAAATATATTTAGTCAGTTCCACAATAAGTTTTCTATGTTTTTCTTTTCTCTGGTTTCAGTAAACACTTACTGCGATAGCTTCATTTACTTCTTTCTGCTACACTTAAATATAGGTTCTTCAGAATTTCTGATATTTCTTTATAGGTGATTTCTATATCTAATTTCTTTTTCTTATATATGAAAGTGTTTATGTTTCTTAGCATTATTGCCATCTGGCTTGGGAAGACCTACTTTATTGTGTCTTTTTCATTTTTAGTGTTCAGAGTTGAAGAAATTCTTGAACAAGCAGACTACCTATATGAGAGTGGAGAAACAGAAAAACTTTATCAGTTGCTGACTCAATACAAGGAAAGGTAGGCAATATATGATAGGCTTGGGTTTGCGGTTTCCTCCAAGTTTTTGTTATTTAACAATTAAGATGGTTCTTGGTGCTTGAAATTTTTATAATTTTTAAAAAAAAATTTACTGCAAAATAATGTTTCTTAGTGTTTAATTTATAGTATAATGTTTCAGTAAATGATTCACAAGTGCTACATGTATCTCGATGATTTAATAAAGGTGATTCTCCATAGTTATTCTAGTAGAATGTTGAAGTATTTTTTTTACATTTGTTATTTTGCTTTGGATCATATGAGGTAGTTGTATATATGGTTATCTCATATATCTATGTTGTATATTTCTCATCTTTTTAAGTTAATTTCTTACTGGCATAGGATATAAATGAATTTGGATGATCATATGCCACCATTGAATAGTATCTGTGTATCACTTCAAATTTTTTTTTTTTAATGTTTATTTTTGAGAGGGAAAGAGAGTGCAAGCAGGGGAGGTACAGAGTGAGTGGGAGATGTAGAATTCGAAGCAGGCTTCAGGCTCTGAGTTGTCAGCACAGAGCCCATTGCGGGGCTTGAACTCATGAACCGTGAGATCATGACCTGAGCTGAAGTCGGATGCTTAATGACTAAGCCACCCAGGTGCCCCTGTGTATCAATTTAGAAGCAGTTTTTTAGAGAAACTAAAAATGCCTCCTTTTTCCATTTTAAGTATTAGATTACATGTTTAGTCCAGAGTATCACTATGTAGTCAGTTTTGGGAAGGATTCAAGTGGAAGGAGATTCTACCCTATTAAATAGGTTAAATAAGGCTAAAATGGCATTGCCAGACCACATATCTACTTAATCTTCTAAGCTAAAGATACTGAGTCATTTTCAGCTACCTTTCTTAGATTCCCAAGACCAGTTTTCCACCACAACCCATCAATTTTACTTCCCAAATGTCTATAGGATCCATTTTTTCCTCTCCATGTTCCCCTTAGTTACTTGTAGGGGCTGGTTTGGTATTTTATAGTCATTTCAGTAATTACTTGAAAAGCAAGCTGTAAGATAGTTACCCCATATTTAATTATAGATATACAGTTGCTACCTTTAGTTTCAAAATTTTATGTGACTACCATTTTTTTAAGTTTATTTATTTATTTTGAGAGAGTAAGTGAGAGAGAACGTGAGCAGGGGAGGAGCAGAAAGAGAGGGAAAAAGAGAATCCCAAGCAGGCTCTGCTGTCAGTGCAGAGCCCCATGCGGGGCTTGATCCTGTAACCGTGAGATCATGACCTTAGCTGAAATCAAGAGCCGGATGCTCAACCAACTGAGCCACACAGGCCCCCCAGGTGAATACCATTTTTTGTTAAGAAATATATAATGGGCTTAAGGGCAGACATTTAATAAAAAGGATAAAAAGTCTAATGTTTTAAAAAATATTTCTAACTCTTAATTATGGTTACTATTTCATTTATTAACCGTTTCTTAGTTTATAAAAATATTTTCAAATGGAAGTTCTTCAAGGGGTCCAGTGCCCTTACTTGAAATATTGTATGCATCATGGAATGGATGACACACGCAAACATAGGATTTATCTTGAGATTTTGTTATATTCAGTCATTTATTAACACATATTTATCATATGCCTATTGTGTGCCAGGTACTGTATTTTGGTCTACAGATATAGCAGTTTTGTTTTTTAAAGCATGATCCTGTCTATAAAACTTATTTATTTTATGGGACTATCTGAACCAGATAGTGAGTTGTCTGAAGTGCCAAAGCCTTAAGTTACATGTTGAATTTGTAGTGCGTTTGGAGAATTAAAATACAAAGGTCTTTTCTAAGGAAGTTAATATTTTAGATATCATAAGAAAGTTTAATATTTATGTGTAGTATTTTGTAGGAAATTTTAGCAAATAAAGTTTTTGTGTGAAAGAATATAGCATTGTGAATAATGACTTTTGACACTGCTAAATCTTCACTGACCTGTAAGACCATCATTATGTATTCATTAGTGCTGTGACCTTTAACAATTTTTACATTTGAGCTAAACTGGTTATTTTATATTTATTTCAAATTAGTGAAGACGCAGAGTTACTGTGGCGTTTGGCACGGGCATCACGTGATATAGCTCAGCTTAGTGGAACCTCAGAAGAGGAGAAAAAGCTCTTGGTCTATGAAGCCCTAGAGTATGCAAAAAGAGCACTAGAAAAAAATGAACGCAGTTTTGCAGCTCATAAGGTGAGGTCCTTAATATAATGAAACTGTTACTATCTATTGAGAGGTACGTTAGTCTATACCTACCTATGATTACTGATTTACGTGGGAAAGAAAATTTGTCTATATTAAAGAAGTAGGGAAGAGATTTATTTTTACAACATTTGTTCAAAAAGATGTAGTTTTTTCTTTGCATTCTTGAACATTTATTCTAACTTTATTAGTGTGTTGATAACTTAGTTTTGTGAATGCTTATTTTTTTATTTTTTTATTTAAAAAAATTTTTTTTTCAACATTTATTTATTTTTGCGACAGAGAGAGACAGAGCATGAACGGGGGAGGGGCAGAGAGAGAGGGAGACACAGAATCGGAAACAGGCTCCAGGCTCCGAGCCATCAGCCCAGAGCCTGACGCGGGGCTCGAACTCACGGACCGCGAGATCGTGACCTGGCTGAAGTCGGACGCTTAACCGACGGCGCCACCCAGGCACCCCTCTTTTTAAAAAATTTTTAACATTTATTTATTATTGAGAGACAGAGACAGAACATGAGCATGGGAAGGACAGAGAGAGAGGAAGACAGAGTCTGAAGCAGGCTCCGGCTCTGAGCTAGCAGCACAGAGCCCGACGCGGGGCTCGAACCCACAAACTGCGAGATCATGACCTGAGCCGAAGTCGGACGCTTAACCGACTGAGCCACCCAGGCACCCCTGTGTATGCTTATTTTTAAACAGTTAATAGTTTCATGAATTACCTATACCTTTATTCCTAGTAGTATAAGCACTTGACAATTGTTTACTCATTTTCCTCACATTATATTTCTGTTTTATGTAGAGGTGAGAGTAGAGTGGCTGGACAGCTGAGGCCTAGTGTAACTTTCACATGTAACTCTGCTACTTTCTGAATTTCCTAATTGGTTTAGAATAATGTTTTTCAATGGACACTGTAGGGAGACATGGGGACATTATTTGTCTTTTGATTAGGACATCATGTTATCATGTTGGACTATCCTCAGCAGACCCCCAAAGTCATTGTGACAGCCAAATTCCATCTCCACCATTTCTAAATGCTCCCTTCTTAGAGGCCAGTCTCCCTCAGCACCCCCTCCCTGATTAATACTGGTTTATATTAAAAATAAAAAATAAGGATTCTTTAAGTTTGTTGAGATTTGTTTTATAACCCAGAATATGGTCCACCTTTGTAAATTTTCTTTGTGCACATGAAAAGAATGCTTATTCAGTTTCTTGTTGGGAGTATTTTATAAATGTCATTCAGGTCACGTTGGTTCATAGTGCTGTTTGAGTCTTCTGTATCCTTAATGATACTCCGTCTGCTTGCTGTATAAATTATTGAGAGAAGGATGTTGAAATGTCCAAGTATAGTTGTAGGTTTGTTTCTTTGCAGTATTTTTAATTTTTTTTCTTTCTTTTCACTTGTATTTTATTTTACTTTTTAAAATTTACATCCAAGTTAGTTAGCATATAGTGCAACAATGATTTCAGGAGTAGATTCCTTAATGCTCCTTACCCATTTAGCCCATCCACCCTCCTGCAACCCCTCCAGTAACCTTCTGTTTGTTCTCCATATTTAAGAGTCTCTTATATTTTGTCCCCCTCCCTGTGTTTATATTACTTTTGCTTCCCTTCCCTTGTGTTCATCTGTTCTGTGTCTTAAAGTCCTCATCTGAGTGAAGTCATATGATATTTGTCTTCCTTTGACTAATTTCACTTAGCATAATACCTTCTAGTTCCATCCACATAGTTGCAAATGGCCAGATTTCATTCTTTTTGATTGCTGGGTAATACTCCATTGTGTATATAGACCACAGCTTCTTTATCCATTCCTCCATTGATGGACATTTGGGCTCTTTCCATACTTTGCTTTGGTTATTGTTGATAGTGCTGCTATAAACATTGGGGTGCATGTGCCCACTCAAAACAGTATAACTGTATCCCTTGGATAAATACCTAGCAGTGCAATTGCTGGGTTGTAGGGTAGTTCTATTTGTAATTTTTTGAGGAACCTCCATCGTGTTTTCCAGAGTGGCTGCATCAGTTTGCATTCCCACCAGCAGTGCAAGAGAGATCCTCTTTCTCCGTATCCTTGCCAACATCTGTTGTGCCTGAGTTGTTAATGTTAGCCATTCTGACAGGTGTGAGGTGGTATCTCATTGTGGTTTTGATTTGTATTTCCCTGATAATGAGTGATGTTGAGCATTTTTTCATGTGTCAGTTGGCCATCTGGATGTCTTCTTTGGAGAAGTATCTATTCATGTCTTTTGCCCATTTCTTCACTGGATTATTTGTTTTTTGGGTGTTGAGTTTGATAAGTTCTTTATAGATTTTGGATACTAACTCTTTATCTGATATGTCGTTTGCAACTATCTTCTCCTATTCTGTTGGTTGCCTTTTAGTTTTGCTGATTGTTTCCTTCACTGTGCAGAAGGCTTTTTATTTTGATGAGGTCCCAGTAGTTCATTTTTGCTTTTGTTTTCCTTGCCTCTGGAGATGTTAAGAAGTTGCCGTGGCCAAGATCAAAGAGGTTTTTGCCTTTCTCCTCAAGGATTCTGATAGCTTTCTGTCTTACATTTAGGTCTTTCATCGATTTTGAGTTTATTTTTGTGTATGGTGTAAGAAAGTGGTCCAAGTTCATTTCTCTGCATATCGCTGTCCATTTTTCCCAGCACCACTTGCTGAAGAGACTGTCTTTATTCCATTGGATAGTCTTTCCTGCTTTGTCAAGATTAGTTGGCCATATATTTGTGGGTCCATTTCTGGGTTCTCTATTCTGTTCCATTGATGTGAGTGTCTGTTTTTGTGCCAGTACCATACTGTCTTGATGATTACAGCTTTGTAATACATCTTGAAGTCCAGGATTGTGATGCCTTCTGCTTTGGTTTTCTTTTTCAAGATTGCTTTGGCTTATCGGTGTCTTTTCTGGTTCCATATAAATTTTAGGATTTTTTGTTCTAGCTCTGTGAAGAATCCTGGTTAATTTGATAGGTATTGCGTTTTTGTTTTTGTTTTTAATTTAAAAAATTTTTTTAGAGAGAGCATTAACAGGGGAAGAGAGGCAGGGAGAGAAAGAGAGAGAGACAGAGAGAATCCTAAGCAGGCTCCATGGTCAGCACACAGCCTGATGCTTGGCTTGATCCCATAACCCTGGGATCATGACCTGAGCTGAAATCAAGGACCCTCAACTGACTGAGCCACCCAGGTGCCCCTTTTTGCAATTTATTAATTTTTGCAGCATGTATTTTAAAGTGCTGTTATTAGGAATATAAACATTTAGGATTGATTATATTTTCTTGATGCATTGACCTCTTTATCATTATAAAATGATCCCCTTTATCTTTGAAATAACTCTTGGGTTTTTTTGTTTGTTTTTTTCTTTTTCTTTTGGTTTTATAGTCTACTTTGATATTAACATAGTAACTCTTATTTTCTTTTGATTAATGAAAGAATTTGTAGCATGTTACATCCTTTTCTGTCCTTTTACTGATTGTGTCCTTATATTTAACATATACTTGTAAACAGGTGGTAAGTCTTTGATTTTTACTTCTGTATTTTGCATCATATAAAATTCATCATTGTAATAACGTACACTGCAGTAGATTTTTAGCATTTTCACTGTGTTGTGCAGTCATCATCACTGTCTAATTCCAGAATATTTTTGTTACTCCCAAAACAAATCTTATATTTATTACCAGTTAATCCCAATTCTCCACTTTCTGTCCCCTGCCAAGCACTAATCTAGTTTCTGTCTCAGTGAATTTGCCTGTTCTAGACATTTTATATAAATGGAATCATATAATATGTGTCCTTTGTGTGTTTCGCTTCTTTCCCTTAGCATAATATTTTCAAGGTTTATCCATACTGAGTATGTGACAGTACTTCATTTTTTTATGACTAATACTTCATTGTTTGGGTATACCAGTTTTGTTTATCCATCAACTAGTGAACATTTAGGTTGTTTCTACTTTTTTGCTATTATGAATAATAGCACTCTAAACAATTTTGTACAAGTTTTTGTGTGAACGTCTGCTTTCACTTCTTTTTTTTCTTATTGAGGTAACTTCACACAACATAAAATTAACCATTTTAAAGTGCCCAATATAGTGACATTTAATACATTTACAATGTGGTGTAACCATTACCTCTATGTAGTTCCAGAACACTTGTATCACCCTGGAAGGAAACCCTGTACCCAATAAGTAGTCACTTTCTATTTACTCTTATTCCCAGCCCTTGACAAACACTAATCTGCTTTCTGCCGCTATGGCTTTACCTACTCAGGATATTTCCTAGAAGTGGAGTCATACAGAATGGGATCGTTTGTGTCTGACATCTTTCACTTATCATGTTTTTGAGGCCCATCCACATTGTAACATGTATCAGTACTTTATTCCTTTTTATGGATGAATAATATTCCATTGTATGGATATATACCACATTTTGTTTACCCATTGATTAGTTGATGGACATTTGGATTATTTCCACATTTTTGGATATTGTTTATAGTATAACTATCAACAGTCATGTACAACTATTTGTTTAAATACCTGTTTACAGTTCTTTTGAGTATCTAGGAATGGACTTGCTGGGTCATATGTAATTCTATGTAATTCTTTTTGAGGAACTGTCAAATTGTTCTTCAAAGTAGCTGTACTATTTTACATTACTGACAGCAATGTATGAGAGGGTTCCAGTTGCTTCACAACCTTGCTAACTCTTGTAATTATCCATTAAAAAAATTAACAATTACTGGGTGTGAAGTGGTTTCTTATGGTTTTGATTTGCATTTTCTAATGAGTAATGATGTTGAGCATCTTTTCATGTGCTTATTTGACATTTGTATATCTTCTTTGGAGAAATATCTATTCAAATTCTTTGCCCATTTTTAAGCTGGGTTTGTCTTTTTATTGTTGAGGGTTTTGTTTGTTTGTTTATTTTTGAGAGAGAGAGAGCACAAGTGGAGAGGGGCAAAGAGAGAGGGGGACAGAGGATCCAAAGCACGCTGTGCATTG